CTCTCCCTCCCTTCCTCTCTCTCCCTCCCACTCTATCTGTACAAAAAATGGAAAAATATCCTCGGGTGAGGATAAAATAATAATAATAATAATAACTTTTGGAAACGGCTCCCCACTGCTTCCACACAAAGCCAAGGAAACCACAGAAAAACAGCCTCACTCAGCACATCATCTCTGCATGACTCGGGCATTCTGGTATTACATCAGGATGGACAGCATTCGGCTTCGCTGCTACTCTTTTCTCACGTAGACAGCTCCTAACCCTGAAATACTGTAGCCAAAGCATTCTCTCAACGGCTCAGAATATCTGTAATTGCCTCTGTCTACCTGCTATTTGTTTCACTGTTCTGAGAACACATCCAAAACCCATAATGTGAATTCCACTGACAGCATCTCCACAGGACTATCCTACACGTTTTATATCAAATTGTCTTCAACCCTTTTCAAGGCCATTTTTTACGTGTGCTCCTTGTTGTGCGACCTTTAGTACCCGCTATAATTTCCTCCAACAAAAGTAACACACTAAGTGTTAGATCCTTTCATCATCCATATTAGTACCATACCCTCCTAAGCCTCTCCCCCTCTGCCTTCTAAGTATCTTTGCCCAGGCTCTCCTCTTACTTACATGTTTGCTTTTGTATTCTCCCAACCCTACCCTCAACACCCTCCTCTACTCCCCAAAATAACCATACTTCTAAGGGTACAATACTTGGTTTTTGACCTTTTCAAAATCAGTGTAAATGTCATTCTGTCAGCATACATAACTACTTTTTAGAGCTGAGAGGCAGAAAGAGGCTCCAAGTAACTTTTGCTACACAGACAGGTGAATGGTGTAAGCTGGCTATGGATTTTTGTGGGATTTACTGGCTATTCTTTATCATGAGAATGTTGATTCTGTTTATGGCTTTGAAACTAAAGCTCCCTAAAACATGAGAGGATCTCTCATTGGCTGCAGTTAACTGAGAAAAGCCCTATAACAGGACCTCCCCCACCCACACACACCGCTACCTGAAGACCAAAACTCAGAATTTGCCATAATCAAATCCCAAATATATGAAATCATAGCCCACTGAATAGTTAACATAAAATTAAAACAAAGTCTCCATGCCTACCTACAATTATATTTTTTAGTCCTCACCCAAGGATATTTTTCCATTGATTTCCAGATAGAAAGGAAGGGAAGGAGGGAGAGAGAAACATCTATGTGGGAGAGACACACATCAGTTGGTTGCCTCCCTCATGACCCCAACCAGAGCCAGGGATGAAACCTGCAGCCCAGGTACATGCCCTTGACTGAGAATCGAACCCAACCCCTTGGTCCACAGGACGACACTACAACCCTGAGCCAAACCGGCCAGGGCCTACCTACAATTATGAAATCTCAGTTTAAAGTGAGCTTCAAATGCCCTTTAGTTTCTAAAATATCTTCTTAATCAGAAACAAGGGGCACAAAAAGAATTCCTACATGGACACAACATAGCCATTCATGATTGTCTGCTTTTCCTTATCCTAAACTGTCTTTAAGTGTATAAACTTTTCTTAAACAAATCATGTTGGGAAAACTGGACATCTACACGCAAAAAAAATAAAGTTGGATTCTTTCACTACACCATATACAAAAATTAACTCAAAATGGATCAAATGCCTAAGCATAAGAGTTAAAACTATAAAACTCTTAGAGAAAAAAAAATAGAAGAAAAGCTTCAAAACACTGGACTTCGCAAAGATTTCCTGGATATGACACCAAAAGTATAGGCAACAAAAGTGAAAATAAATTGAACTACATCAAAATGTAAAACTTCTGTGCAAAGGACAACCAACAGAATGAAAAAGAAAACTACAGAATGGGAGAAAATATTTGCAAATTACATATCTGGTAAGGGATTAATATCGGAATATATAAATGACTCCCACAACTCAACAACAAAAAGACAAATGACTTAATTAAAAAATGGGCAAAGACTATACTAGACACTTCCAAAGAAGATATACAAATGGTCAACAAGCATATGAAGAAATGTTTAACATCAAAATTAACTCAAAATTAACTAATTAGGGAAATACATATCATAACCACAATGAGATATCACCTCACACTCATTAGGATAGCTACTATAATAAAAATAAAAAATAAAAAACTCAGTGTTGGTGAGGGCATGGAGAACCTGGAACTTCTGTGTACTATTAGTGGGAATGTAAAATGGTGTAGCCACTGTGGAAAACAGAATGGCAGTTCATCAAAAAATTAAAAATAGAATGACCATATGATCCAGTCATCCCACTTCTAGATATACATCCAAAAAAGGTAAAAACCAGAACTCAAACAGGTATTTGTACACCCATGTAGAGCAGCATTTTTCATTACAGCCAAAAGGTGGAAGCAACCCAAACATCCATCAATAAATGAACAGATAAACAAAATGTGGTATATACATAAGCTACAAAATGGATGAACCTTGAAGACATTATTCTAAGTGAAATAAGCCAGTCACAAAAAGGCAAACACTATAGGATTCTATTTATATGGGGTGTCTAGAATAGTTAACTTCATAGAGACAGAAAGTAGAACAAATGGTTGCCAAGGGCTGGGGGAATGGGTAAAGGAGAAGTTTTTTCATGTTCATAAAGATTCAGTTTTGCAAGATGAAAGCATTCCGGAGGCTGGTTGCCCAACAATGGAAATATACTTAATACTAAACTATCCACTTAAAGTAGTTAAAATAGTAAATTTTGTGTTGTGTGTATTTTAACACAATTTTTAAAGTCCAACCTTAATAAACTATTTTATACCAAAAAATATTTTAACAAAAAAACAAGCATCTGAAGTACTAGCCTTAACTAACAAATCTATTGCCACGTTTTTATTTCACATAAAGCATATTATTATCTTTCAATATTACCATGCACAGAATGCTGTAATATTATAAATATCTTTTAAAGTAAAGGTATAATTTGTAGGACTGAAAATATGTATAATATAACAGACTTTATACACAATGCTTACAGTCTATAAAATTAATAAATTTATACAAATGATTACTACAGAATGTACATGGTAATGAAAATAACTCCATAGCAAAGCTTCCTGCTTCATTTCATGTTAATACTCCCTTTGAAGGCTTCAAAGAGCTTCACAAATCTCAGGGCACTAAAAAGAAAGAATTTCATGTGTTTGAACCATTAATTGCACAGCAAGACCTTCATCACATGTTTACTGAAAAATGCTCGACTGGATGATAAGTGTAGCGGAACAAAGGTCCCAGGGGCCCCTATGCTTACCTACCCCATTACTCTTGAGTCCCAATTTGTTTTTGTTTTGTGAGGTTTTATGGTGGTTAATATTGATTGTTATTTTTATGTTTATTTGCATTTTCAAATTTTTATAAGAGTAAGCCTGTTTATAAGAATCCCAAATATAACACTACAATAATGAAAAAATACATTGGAGGTGCCAAGTGGGTACTAAACCTATTGGGGGGATCACTTCATAAGTTACATAAATGTCTAACCACTATAAAGCTATTCCTTATAAGGTATAGCTTTACCTTATAAGGTATACCTGAAACCAATATAATATTGAATGCCAACCGTAATTGAAAAATAAAATGAAATGCATTAGGATGGACTACAGGCAAGATGTCAAAGGGAGCAGATGCAGAAAGTTGTTTTCCATTCTGCACGTATAGGAATTAGGGACAATTTATAAACAAAAGTTAGAACTGCATAGCTGTGCTTGCTGCAAGGAGACAAACCTTCCAGGCAGGAGCAGTGGAAAGCAGAGTCCCAAAGCAGTAAGGTTGGCTAATTGAGTCTCAGTTTGAATAAGAAACCTGAAGTACAACTTATTAGCAAATTTGAAAAGAAGCTATTTCATAAAATTCAGTATTTGGCATCTAGATCTCAAAAACAGATTTATTCATTTACATCCATCCAGGAAAAAATATATACATTTCTGATTTAGACTTAAAGTCCAAAGTACAGTTATATTCCATTACATTCTCATTTTGATCTAATAATAAGCTACTTGAGAACATAACCCTGTGTCAAAACAATATACTAAGAATATTGGCATTGTTATATTCAGAGCAAAAACATCCAGGAAAATAACTATATAAAATATACAAAGATTAGTTAGCAGAAAGAGTGTCAATCTTTGGGGTACTTGTAAAAGGCACATTCCTAAACTCTGCCTCCTACCATTCTGATAATGATTTTGACACACTAGGATGGAGCCTAGTCAGTTAAATTTTTAATGTGCATTTTTAACAAGCACTTTAATAACACTTTAAGAAAAAAATGCAAAACACATCACCAATAAGAGGAGAATTATAAAGCCTTAGAGCTATACCTTATAAGGAAGTTCAGCTGTCATCTCATTTAACCTAATTAATACGAGTGCCCTTTCTACAATACTGACAGATTGATTGACTGATTGATTTTAATAAGAATACCAACATTTACATAGTCAAATAAATAATATATGCTTCTCTGTAAAGTATGAAGCCTAATCACTTATTTTAACAGTATCATTGTTTAAAACTTAGAGTCACCTCTTCTTAGAATTAACTTCCAATACAGCATGAGCCTTCAAACACACATACAAATTACAAAATGAAAACCTGGTTTCATTACATTATTGTTCCTTCTGTATTTTTTTGTTTTTATTATTATTATTTTTATTATTATTATTTTATTATTATTATTATTACAATTAATCTGGAGAGCCCTAAACAAGTTCCTACTACTTTCCAAATGCACCCTCACAGGGTTGAGATTTGTCACCACAAAAAGTAAGGTGCATTACAGAATGGTACCAGAAGGTCAAGATGCAGAGAAAATGTTCAGTGTCTTGAGTAGAAGAAAGAGAATGGCCTCTCAAAAAGACTGTTTTGAACAAGATAATGTTCACTTGGATACGTAAGTTCAACTAGGCTTCTTGTCAGTATATTATTGAACATGACTGAACACATAGCAATAGTGGTAAGAAAAGGAGACGTTACCTGTGACCGCTCTGCAGTCCCTCCTGCTTCGTTGTTTTTGCTCCCTTCACTATCAGAGGGGCAGGAAAAATTTCTCCAACCCTTGGCACTGCTGGAGACTCCAAGAAGACTTTAAAATCTATAGAAATAAATAAACATGTTCCACAATCATCAATAAACTGTAAAACCCCAATCTGAGTGTTCCTAGTGTTTTTCTCTCACCATTTCCCACCATTTGTTGTACACCAAGAGTGAGCTCTCCTCAGATGGCATTTAGTTTATCATTTTAAAAATAAGCCAAAAGTAAGCCTTTATTTAGAAATCTGAATGTCAGCCAAAAACCAGAGACTCCCGTTGGGTAGTAGAAAGTAAAGAGGAGGATTCCTCCATCCTCTAAGAGATGTTAAGTAATTATATACTATTTACAGGAGGGAAAAAACACGTGAAACTAAATAAACCCATATCCATGCATCAGCAGCATCAGTAACATTTGTTAATGACAGCAAAATATAAAATAGCAAGAAAGGACCATAAATAACTTTTATAAACAACTTTTCTTAAAATATGCAATACTCCCAAATATTCCCAGGTACCTTTGACCTATCTAGACACTGACAGTTCAAAGTTCAGTTTTTTGCCATCCCCTGGGCAAAGTTTACTTTGATCTTAGACACACATCTCAAAAAGTAGGAAGATAAGTTTTACAACGCAAATACATGGCTTGCTGCCTACTTGCACAACCAGAAAAGCATACGTTTGAAGAAGGTTGGGAAATTATCCTACCTGAGAGAACACCTAGAGGCATCCAGGACGGCAGCTAAAGGATGAACACCAGACACTTTAGAGACACAAAAGGCAGAAGCTCATGCAAATGCTAAGCAAAACCTCAAGAAGCCATTATTCAATCTCAAAATAGGCAGAAGCTGGAGTAAACGTCCAAGAAAGAATATTTAAATTTAAAGCACGGAAACCATTTATTTGCTCAATAACTGAGGGGAAAGTTAAGTAAATTTGATACAATGATATAATTTACTTAACCACAACTTTGTCAGCCATCAAAAATTTTTATGTTTCTAATAAAATGGGGAAATGCCAATTGTCATATAAAAAAAGAAAAAGACAGGGTACAATGTTGTAATTACACATAATCATAATTACTTATGCAAAAGCAAGAAACAAGATGTAACTTGTTCTGATGTAGTTAGAATATGAGGTAAAATATTGCCCCCTCTTAAGAGGGGTTAAGGTGAGCAATTCAAGTTGTAGTACAACAAATAAGTATTTCAAAATCTCTGTTTAAGGATTTCCCAAGCCCCAAACGATGAGCCAATCAATGTAATAATTTTTCTGCAACAGTTCAATGTATTAAAAGATGGCTCCCTAAAAAGAGTCTGTGTTTTTTTGACCGATGCATGCCTTAAAGGCTTGAAATGCAATATCTTTTCCTATGACAAATGTTTCATGAAAGGAAAAATATGGGGTGAGGGGAACCTCAAAGTGATCTAAACCTAAACTAGGCACAGTAGTAGTAGTGACCAGGCACAAGAAGAGTTGGTATGGGGCATGAAATGTAAAGGATAACATGTGTGCTAGGTGAGTCTGAGACTTACTGGGGGATCACCTCGTAAATCAAATGTCTAATCATTATGCTGTACACCTGAAACGAATGTAAAATAATGTTGAAAGTCAACTGTAATCGAAGAATACAAATAAAGAAAAAGTAGAGGATAATATTTCCCATGCAAATAAACAAAATTCATCCTGAAATGTCCTCAGTACCTTCAAATCCGCCTTCTTCACTCTGATCAATTAGTTATTTATTAGAACCTGGAACCCTGCCATATAATTCACATTCAAATCTCTGGGCATTTAATCCCAAGAGGTTTTACAAGTAAGAAATTCCCCTCCTTCCATGATCCCACATGAGCAGTTTTATCATCGTGTGCTGGAGTGACACCGGCTCCTCTACTGCCTCTTAAGAATTACAGATTGCTCCCAGATGCTTTTCAGGCGATTTCAAGCCCTTCCTCATTCAGCGACTCTTGAATTATGAAAGGGCATCTCTAATTCATGAGAACTACTTCTCCCATCTCAGTGTGCATTATCATATATCCTCCCCTCACACGCTACATTTTTGAGCACCCTCCCCCTGTGTATGCTTTTACTTAGGTAATAAGGCTGTGCTGGGTATCACTAAGGGCTTTACCCGGGACCCTTCTTATATTTATTCACCATCATGATTCTGCCAGCAGCAACTTCAAAGGAAGCCCAGTCCTTTGACAGTAATGCACAGAATGACGCTGAAAACAAGGTTAAACAGAACTCAAGTAAATTAAAAGGACTCTAAAAATTCACTAGGTCTTGATCACTCACTGGGTTGTCATTTCATTTTTAAAAACAAAATACGTCTCCTGTTACAAAGGGGGGAAGCTGGTGGTTGACAATGCAGTCCATTCAAACTGTCCCCAGGCAAGTGCTTCCCTTCTAACAGAACATTCTACCTCCGCACAATCAAATCATATCCACGCTAACAATCTTTCCATGTAATAGCTGTGTCACCTCCCTAATTTCAACAGAGGAACAAATTTGAAAGCTCACTTCCAGATGGCATAAATTCAGTGAATTTAGACTGCTGTTGTGCTGAGTTCAGAAATCAGCTAATCGGCAGGGAGCGCAGAACAGTAAAGCCACCAAATGAACACTGAGGGTGGGGGTAGGGGTGGGGGGTGATGTTAATTAATATTCACTTCATGGATTGCTCCCTATATCAGTAAAACAAATGCAGGAGGTGTGAATTTATCTATAGCACTGTATTAATTGACCTGTGTTATCATCAAGGGCTTTCCTATAGGGTAATTAACAAATCAATCAAAGAAGACAGAAGTCTCAAACAACTCAAGTTTTCAAATACATGGAGTTGACTATGAATAATTTCATTCTCCAAAAGAGCTGAACTGTGACACAAGGTTACAGTCACATGAGGATATTTGCAGAGTAGAACAAAATATTCTAGTAGGCCCACAATCATCACTGGTTTAAGTATATTAATAGTAACGCTGCATCTTAAATTGGACGAACCTAAATTTAATCCCTGAATTTTACAGACGGCAGAACTGAAGCAGAGGAAGGCGGCTCAGTGACCTGTTCAAAATTAAGTAGCTGGTACATGGTGAACACGAAGGTGGAATCCTTATCTTCCAACCCACCATCATGTTCTTCTCTACACTAAGTTCCCAGTTCCTCAACTAGCTGCCCATTCAGTTGATTTCATTCCTCCCTCAGAACAGCACAACTTTTAAAAGCTTCGGGAAAAGTTGAATCAAAAGAACCTTCAATCAACCTTCTATTTCCCTTCTACCAATCCCTGAAATTTTTACATGATTCATATAGATTCTCTCTTTTACCCAAGAAATCCAGTGTAAATCAGTGTAATTTCAACCATGAAACAAATTAGTGAGTGCAACCCTGGCCGGTTTGGCTCAGCGATTAGAGTGTCGGCCTACAGTCCAGAGAGACCGGGGTTCGGTTCCTACTAAGGGCACGTACCCTGGTTGCAGTTTGTCCCCGGCCCTGGTTGGGTCGATGTTTCTCTCCCTCTCTCTCTTCCTCTCTCTCCCTCCCACTCTATCTGAACAAAAAAAATGTCCTCAGGTCCTCAGGTGAGGATAAAAAAAAAATTAGTGAATGCAGCATATCAGAGGAGGAAAAGCAGAGAGAAAGAACAGGCAGCTTTAAAATAAACCAAAAATACTGATTTATTAAAATAAATAAGGAAGGTGAACAAAACCAAACTTGAAGTACTAATGTGATATTTCCCAATGTGACAACTATTGGTGAGATGTTTCTTTAAAAAAAAGTAGTTGTTGTTTAAGGTTCTGTATTCAAATAAATTTGGAAAATGTTGCATTTTAATTATCCCTCTTGAATATTCACAAAGTGCATAACATGGATTAAGGTTCTAAGAAGTCCTGTAGGGAAGAATCTTGCTTTGTTAAATCCAATGTTTCCCAGTCATTTTTTAAAATATGTTTTTACTGATTTTTTTTTTTTTTTTTTAGAGGGAGAGAGAGATAGAAACATGCACAAGAGAGAGAAACGTTAATCAGCTGCCTCCTGCACGCACTCCAAGGGGAATCGAGCCCGCAACCCGGGCATGTGCCCGGGAATCGAACCAGGACCTCTCAGTCCATGGAGCAACGCTCAATCCACTGTGTCACACTGGCTGGGCTTCCAGTCATTTTTGACAGCTTTGGTTTGCAGAGCTTGTACAGACATCCTCCAAGAAACACTCCCTACTATATTTTGAGGTGCTTTTTTAAAATCAGTGATCAATATTAAATTTTATCAGATGCCTTTTCTATAAAAATGATTGCTTTCCTACTTATATTTAATAAGATGATAAATGTCATTAATAAATGTTATACTACTGAATCTTTCTTTCATCCCTAAAATAATCCTTAGTTGAGATGATTTTTTTTTTAATGTGTGCAAAGTACATATTAAACGTGTTATCTCACCCAGTCTTCTAAGCAATCCTACACGGTGGGAACTATCACTGGCCCTCACTCATGGTCCTCCAGCTCCCCTCCTGGCTGCTCCTCACACACACCCAGCTTGCTCTGCCTCCAGGGGCTGTGCAGTGCCTGCCAGACGTGCTATCCCCCAAGACCCTCCATCCCCGGGTATCCTCCTATTTCATTCCTCTCTCCATTTTTGTCTCTGTTTACATGTCACCTCAAACGGAGGCCTTCCCTGTCTACCCCACACAAAGCAGAGACTGCCTCCCAATTTTGTCACTCTACCCCTGACCCTGTTTTATTTTTGTTTGTAGCAACTGTCACCATCTAACATATATTATATTGAACTTGCATTAATTTATATTCCATTGCCCACAGTAGAATGTAAGCACCATGAGAACAGAGGTTTTGTCCACTTTGCTCATTGCTCACTTCCCAGCACCAAAAATAAGCCTGGCACATAGGAATCATTTCATATTTGTTTAATGAATGAATGAATGAATATGCAAATGAATAGCCATTTTATAGACAATTAAACTGAAGTGTAAAGTGATTATGCAACTGAAATCACAAGTAAGGGAGCGGAGACTGAAACCCAAGTTTAACTTTCAACGCTCTACCC